TTCGGCCAGGGCTGGGGGTGCCCACCCCCAGACCCCCGCACCCCTGCGGGGGCCCCGGGGCCGGGGCTCAACAACCCTGGTTGCGGCTCAATATGCACACATGTGTGAGGGTGCAGCATTGGCAGCCCCCTTCTTTTGGATACACTGGTTGTGTCCAAGCAGTAGGCGTCTTTGGGCTACAAATGCTGTCGACAAGCAGGTCTCTGCTGAGCAGGTGTCAGACTATATCGATCGTGTCACCATTTGGCAGAATCCTGTGTTTATTAATCTGAGTGCATGCCAGTGGGGTTGAATTACAGCAGAATGGAATGGCCCTAAGGTGTCTTCCTGATGTGGGCAAGAAATTGGGCAACGCAGCAAGTGTGCAGTGGTGGGATCAGATGCTCTCTGTCCATCTCTTCTTGTCCCCTTCTCATCCATCGACTGTTCAATCCCCCCCCCTGAATTCTGTGGATACCTCTGTGAAATGGAGATTTGTAAAATCTGCAGGGGTTAATTGTTTATGAACTGTCAAGTTTCTTAGGATCATTATGAAATGGGCGCTCAAATCATCATTCACCGGCGATTTTTCTAATCGCAGGTACAAAGCTGGGCAGCAAGAGCTTGTTATTCTCAAGAAGCTTGCTGGAGCTGACCCCGAAAACAAGCGGCACTGCATCCGGCTTCTTTCCAGCTTTGAGTACAGAAAACATCTGTGCTTGGTATTCGAATCTATGCATATGAACCTCCGTGAAGTGCTGAAGAAGTTTGGAAGGGACATTGGAATCAACTTGACGGCGGTCCGCGCATACGCGCACCAACTATTTGTTGCGTTGAAGCACCTGAGGAATTGTGGCGTCCTTCATGCAGATATCAAGCCAGACAACATGCTGGTAAGTCCCCAACTTGTCCCCCGTATATGAGGAGAAGGCAGCTGCATTAAAAGAAAAAAAGTAAAAAGAAAGGCTGAAAGAACGGTGTCAGTATGCCTCAAGGTGTCTGCTCTTTTCTTTATTTGTTATGTGGACTGGGGTTTTTTAATTAATAATTTTATAGATATGTGACAATGACAATCAGTATGTCTGGACGTCGTTTTGGATGCTAGGTATCCCGTCACAGAGGGCCATAACTGCAGGCCTTTCTGGAGGAGCACCTGTCATATAGAAACATCTTTGCCAATCGCATGCCCCATGAGGGTGGCAGGGTACAATTGATTATTAGCGCCTGATTAAAATCAGTATTGAATCACGTCATTAATGGTAAACGGTAAACCCTGCAATAGAATACCAGATCAGTTTGACAAAGAATTTGCAAATCATAACACCCTCGCGTCTGCTGTGCTTTTCCAGGTAGTGCAATTAGTGTTGCAGTGGCTGAGGAAAGGGGGGTAACTTTTTTTTTCCCGATCAGAGCTTCATGTGCATGGAATTGGCGGTTTTTCTGTGCAATAATGATGATGCCCTCGGGATATAAACATTTTTTCCTATCCAACTGGAAATGTTGAAGGGAAGGGAAGTGGAGTTGTTCATGGATTGTTTCCTGCAGTCTCTCTAAATTTTAGTGCCATTGCAGTTCTTCATGGTGGCAATTTAGGTCTTTTACAATGTCGTTTGCAAGAGAACCTGACTGGGTGAGCAGTAGCAAAGATTTGAGATGCAGGAGCTCTAGGGGCTGTCTCTTATACACATCTAGATGTGTATAAGAGACAGATTCTGACTCGTGTGGACTATT